CCACTTGAGCCACCGCAGCTCCTTTGGATAGCATAGTAAATAAAACAACAATATAAATATCAATATAAAACATACAACATAGTTATTAAAAACAATTTACATAGCGATGGCGGTACAGCTGTGGTAAAGTGCATATGAAAACATGCATTCAGCGGTAAGTTCCACTATCAGCGGGCTCAGGCTGGAAATAACATTGGCACAGGGCACAGATGATGAAATGCAGCTCCTTACCTAAATGCCTGGTGGAGGAGCTCCATTTTTGCGGCCCTGCGAAAATGAACGCTTGGCTTAAATCGCACTTCGGCACGCCAACATGTTGGGTATCCAGCACCAATGTAAAAAAGTATCATGTTGAAGCATAATAAAGGGCACGCTTTCAAAAGAGTTGTGAAAAGACCACTGTCTACCAGAAATGAGTTCTGAGCATGCCCCTTTGAAAGGTTGCAACCTCCATTTTCATCACCAAGGTGTGAGCAGGAGATGTCCTGAATGGACTGGGGAGGGGTTGTGGCTCAGTGGATGAGCCTCTGCTTTGCATGCAGAAGGTCTCAGGTTCAACCCCTGGCAGCTCCAGTTAAAGAGGAGAAGGCGGTAGGTGATGTGAAAGACCTCTACCTGAGACACTGGAGAGCCTCTACTGGGCTGAGTGGGCTGTCCTGACCTTGATGGACTGATGGTCTGATTCAGTATAAGGGATTTGTGTGGGACTGATGGTCTGATTCAGTATAAGGGGTTTGTGTGGGACTGCACGGCATGTCTATGGTTAATAGTAGTAAAAAGAGGCAGAGTTTGCCATGTTTGTGACTGTGAAAGTTAATATTTAAGGGTGTGATTTTGGCACTGTCTCTCCTAGGGCATTGTTCTTACCCATGGAAGGGTATGTTCTTCTGTTATCCACTTGTGGGTGCTTCTCAGTGGCTACTGTGGTGCCACAGAGCAGTCTTCCACAGGGGGTTAGAAGGTCTGTGTGTCTCTGCAGGGTCTGTAACATGGAACTCTTTGGCAGATGATTGCCCTGTGCATGTCTTGAATGTTAAAGGTTTTTCTAATAGTTGTTTCAGTGTCATTGTTTTTAAGTGTAAATAAATCCAGACTTTATATACTGTTAAATGGCCAGGTTCTTTGGCGGAGGGGGCTTTTGTGAGTTCAGGTGTAATATTTATCCACTAATCTTGCTTTGCAGCTGGGGATTTTCCCCCTGTGTCGTGTTGTGCAACTTATTTTGAGCAACAGGTCTTCTAAGGGTCACTTGTTATGTGCATTTGAAGAACTAAATGCCCTATGAGTCACAGTCATATCTGAAAATGCATGTAAATGTATCGTGTTTTTGGACCCTGTTTTTTCTCCACATAATATGAGAAACCAGCCATAAAGGGAGATTCTTTTCTAACACAATCTGTGGTGACATTTTTCTTCGTTAGGGTAGCTCCGCCTGCCGCTGGGGCCGTCATGGAGAAAAGTGGGAACATTCAGCTGGAGATTCCCGACTTCAGCAACTCTGTCCTGAGCCACCTCAACCAGCTGCGCATGCAGGGCCGGCTGTGTGACATTGTGGTCAACGTGCAGGGCCAGGCCTTCCGGGCTCACAAGGTAGTGCTGGCCGCTAGCTCGCCTTACTTCCGAGACCACATGTCGCTCAACGAGATGAGCACAGTCTCCATCTCCGTCATCAAGAACCCCACTGTGTTTGAGCAGCTCCTCTCTTTTTGCTACACTGGGCGGATATGCCTCCAGCTGGCAGACATCATAAGCTACCTGACGGCCGCCAGCTTCCTGCAGATGCAGCACATCATAGACAAGTGCACACAGATCTTGGAGGGCATTCATTTCAAAATCAACGTTGCTGAGGTTGAAGCAGAGTTGAGCCAAACCAGGGCAAAGCATCAGGAAAGGCCTCCAGAATCTCACCGGGCTTCCCCGTCCCTGAATCGCTCCCTGAGTCCTCACCACAGCACTCCGAAAGGGAGCCGGATGGGCCAAGTCAGCACAGTGCTGGACATTCGGGAACTTAGTCCTCCTGAGGAGTCTACGAGCCCTCAGATAATAGAGCAGAGTTCGGACGTGGAGAGCAGGGAGCCCATACTGAGGATTAACCGGGCAGGACAGTGGTATGTGGAAACGGGAGTGGCCGATCACGGCGGGCAGGGCGACGACGACGTCAAAGTCCTTGGAGCCGTACGGATCAAAACGGAAAACCTGGAAGAGTGGCTGGGGGCAGAGAATCAGCCGTCTGGAGAAGACGGGAGCAGCGCTGAGGAGGTCACCGCCATGGTGATTGATACTACTGGCCATGGGTCGGTGGGGCAGGAAAGTTACACCCTAGGGTCATCAGGAGCAAAAGTGGCCAGGCCAACCAGCACTGAGATTGAGAGGTGAGTTTCCCTCCATGTCATGTTGATTTCCTTCCAAGAGTGGGTGACCCTAGGAAAGATATTTTTGGGGGTATGTATTTTTTGGTGTAGTGGTTTGGTGTAG